CCGCCTTGGCCCACGGCCCCACTGGCTGCTGGCCCAGCTGCCCGCCTCCCCCTGGGGGCCAGGGAAGTCTCCTCTGTTTACCCCGTGTTGTGGTGTCTCTGGCACGGGCAGGCAGGGTGGGGATGGAGGGGCCCCACCTCCCATGTCTGTGTTCCAGCTCGCCCCTGCCCCCATCCTGGGGCCCTGGGGCTCGGGACCCCTGGGCCTCCCTTCTGTCTGCCTCTCCCACCTTGGTTGGGCCTCCTCAGGGTCCTGGGAAATGGGGCCACAGGGACCCAGGCAGGTGGTGGCAGGGGCTCAGGGTGGGATGAGTGTGGGCCCAAGGTGTTTGGAAGCCCAGGAGGGAAGACCGAGGTCAGAGGAGCCAGGGGCCGTGGGGAGCTGGCTGCTCTTCCGAGTTCCTCTCCAGTCCCAGACCCCATTCGGCAGCCAGGGAAGGAAGGGGAGGAGGGTGGCGGGGAGCTGGCTCCAGCCCCAGGACACACCGAGGAAATTAGTTTGTCTCTGTGCTTGTCAGTGTGTGAACCTCCCCCGGGCCCTCAATCCCAGGCCTCGCCCCTCTCCTTCCCTTTCTCACCGCTGACACGGCTTCAGCCCTTTCCGGCCCCCCCACGCCACCCCCCTGCCTCTCCCTAGGACTGGCAAGGACTCTGCCCTGCCTCCTCCATGCCTTCCAGACCCTTCCTCAGCCGTTCTCTCCAGATGCCTCAGTGTCTTCCCTGCTCCGACCAGCAGAGCCCTTCCTTGGGGTGTCAGTGGATACCCGTATGTCTCCTGACCCTGCAGACAGCTGACACCCACCCAGCATGTCCAGGGCGAACGAGGCAGCCCTGTCTCCCTGGCCAGAAAACCAGCCTCCCTTCTGCTACCCCTCTAGTTTCTGACCCCACTTCTCTCCTGCCTACCCCTGCCAAATTTCTACACCCTCTGCCTCCACTTCCTCTCCACCTCCTCACTCCTTAACCCCCGGCAATCTGGCCTCCCGTTCGCTGCAGTGGCTGCTCTCCAGGGCCGGCGGAGGCAGCCTCCGCGCCACTCAGTCACCTCTTGGCCAGCCTGTCCTCACTCACTCTCCCAATTGTGACTCTGTTTTGCAGCTACACTGTCAAGCTCTGCAGCCTCCTGGGCTCCTCTCCTGGCCTCCTCTACTTCTGCCTTGCCTTCGGCACCTCCTCTTGCTATCCACCTGCCCCTGGGCAGTCTTCAGGGCCTGGCTGAGTGCCCACTGCGGCCTTTCTCTCTCTGCATCTCTCAGCAGCGCTTCATCTGCCGCCTTCCTGCCAGTGGCAGCTGGTCGGAGAGGTGTGGTGTGGACACCAAGCCAGTAGCAGGGCAGACCTGCAGTAGACACTCCTTCTCAGAGCCACTGCTCTGCCCACCCCTCCCCATGGTCCTCTCCTTTCTGCAGCTGAACTACCTGGGCCCCCCTTTCAATGAGCCTGACTTCAACCCACCGCGGCTAGGGGCTGAGACCCTGCCCCGGGCCACCGTCAACTTCGACGTGTGGCGCAGCCTCAACGACAAACTGCGGCTGACCCAGAACTACGAGGCTTACAGCCACCTTCTGTGCTACCTGCGTGGCCTCAACCGCCAGGCCGCCACAGCCGAGCTGCGCCGGGGCCTGGCCCACTTCTGCACCAGCCTCCAGGGCCTGCTGGGCAGCATCGCGGGTGTCATGGCTGCCCTAGGCTACCCGCTACCCCAGCCCCTGCCTGGGACAGAACCCGCCTGGGTCCCCGGCCCTGCCCACAGCGACTTCCTCCAGAAGATGGACGACTTCTGGCTGCTGAAGGAGCTGCAGACCTGGCTGTGGCGCTCGGCCAAGGACTTCAACTGGCTCAAGAAGAAGATGCAGCCACCAGCAGCGGCAGTCACCCTGCGCCTGGAGGCCCCCTCCTTCTGATCGCAGCCTGGCTGCCCCTCCCAAACCTGTAACTGCCAACACCTGTTGAGCCAGGAGATGGATGCCATGAGCCTCGGGGGCTTCCCTGGGTGTGATGCAGTGGCCTGGTCCCACGCCCGCCCCCACCTCCCGAAGTCCTGCAGGTCTGGGAAAGAGGTGCAATAGCCCCATCCCATGCCCACAGGAAGTACTGCTTACAGGAGCCCTGTGTGGGCTCAGTTGGCGCCAAGGCCTCACACCCTGGCTTCCTGCCACTGCCACCCACACCACCCAGCTCCTCTGGCGCATGTCCTGGAAGTGTGACAGCAGCACTGGGACCGGGGCTGCCACAGCAAGTGCCTTCTAGGGGGGAAGCCTTTTGGCGGCTTCCTCTCCTTGGAAACGGGTGGTTTCCCTATTCTGAAGCCCTTCCACAGGTCCAGCTCAGGAAGCAAACACGGTGGCTGGCAAGACTGAGCAGAAAGAGGGGTGGGGTAAAAGCTGCAGATCGGGCCGGATGGGGTCAGCCTGGAGGTGGCCTGCCCCCAGAGCGATGTTGCAGAGGGGCAAGGCAGACTGGATCCAGAGGCCACCGAGGTAGCCAGTGGCCCCCAGTAGCACAGCCAGTCATAAGGAGCAGCAGGGCCATGCCTGGAGGGGTCCACCAGCAGGCATTGGGTGCCAGCTCATTCCCTTGTCTCAGGCTGGGGAGGGCCACTGTGGCCACAGCCACAGGATTTCCTGAAAGTTTACATTGCAGTAGCATTTGGGGGCGTGGGGGCAGTTCCCCCTGGCCCTGCCCCCAGCTCCACCCACTCATGACTCTTAAGTTTGTGGTATTAATATTTATTTATTTGGAGATGTTATTTATTAGATGGTATTTATTGCAGAATTTCTATTCTTGTATTAACAAATAAAATGCTTTCCCCAGAACCTCCTCTCTGGTCTGACATTTCCCCTCCCCTCCCTGTCTCTAGAGAGGGTCCACTTAGACGAGACCTCGTCCTTCCCCCCAGGGAGCCCATGGCTCTGACCCCAAACGGCCTGTAGGTGTCCCTTCCCTTCCTCCACCCTGCCTCTGCTCTGTCCTCCTCACCCTCCCCTCCACCAATAACGTCATAGCCTCACAGGTCTGCTCCTTGCTCTGACCACCACTTCTCCAGCTGAGCAGAGTTGATTATCCGCTCCTGTGGGGCCCACTCCAAGCAGCTAGACGCTGGGCACTTGGTTCCCAGGGACCCCATCTGCCACTGCCCACGGGGGACCCAAGACCAGTACCCCTCAATGTCTAAGGACCAATCTCAGCTAGACCTCCACCTGCCTTCTCCAATGGAAGGAAGTACGAGGGGACCTTCAAAGGTTCCTGCCAGAGTACCATTGTCTTTCATTCTATTTCTCCACAGCCTTGTGAAGGCTCCTTGGATACTTATAACCAAATCCGCTCACACGCCTAAACGGTTCTCACCCACTTGATTCTGACTCACGGACAGGTAACTGCCCTGCAGGATTTCTGAGGCAGCAAGTCCTTATGGGAGCGGACAGACTCCTCTTCCTCTCTCAGAGCTGGGGGTGGGTTCCAACTGCCAGCCTTTCCAGTGTCTAAACCACTGTGTCACCAGGGTGCCACACCTAGAACGCACGTGGGTCCCACCAGCTATTTGAGGCATTCTAGTTACACAATGGGTAAACGAGGGGGTCATCTGCCCTAGGTAGTCCTGGGTGTTTAACTAGCACCTCCTCCTGGGGACTGCGCCTTAAGTCAAGGAAGTAACAAACCAGCTGGGGTCAGCTGGTTCATTGCTACTTTCAAGACCTGGAGTAACCATCCACCCTAGACTGCCCTGAGCAGGAAGACACAAGTCGAGAGCCAGCTGGGCTCCTGCCTTTACCAAAGCTGACCACCCGCCTGGGGAGAAATGACCAGCTTTCCTGAAACAAGAATTAAAGCCTACTCAGGCCAGTGGCCCCCTCCCTTCCCCACCCCACACTCGTGGAAAAGGGGAGGGGCCAGAGGGATTGAGCCTGCTTCACAGCAAAGTCCCAATCACCTCCCCAAGGGAGATGCACCCTCCCACCCTGAGGGGCCCAGATATTTGAGGGGTGTCAAGGCTAGGCACCCTCAGGCCAGCATCTTACCAACAAGAAAGGGAAGAGGGCCACATGGCATTGCCCTGCATGTAAAGCATCACATGGGAGTCAGGGTCAGGGAAGACAGTCACTCAGGAGGGGGGTCTCTTGGGAGACTTGTAGTCAGGTACTTGATAGTCAGCTTTCCCACAAATGCACCAGGTGGGTTTGGTGCTGGCCTTGGAGATGGGGCAAAAGCGTGGCTTAGTCAGCAGATGGTGCTAGGAGGGCAGGGGCCAAGGCCAACCATCTCTGACCCCCTCCAGCCATGGGCACAGTGCCTGACCTGGTCGTTGGCCGAATTGGAATAATTTAAACTCTATCAAGGTCCCTGGGTGGCGTATACAATTTGTGATCAACTTCTCAGCCAGAGCAGGGAGCATGCTGGGTTGAACCCACCCAGTAGCTCTGAGGAAGAAAGGCTTGGCGGCCGGCTTCCATGCAGATGACAGCCAGGAAACCCACAGGGGCAGCATTATTCCACACAGGGTCACCAAAAAGAGAGACCAAGTCACCAGCAAGGGGCGGTGTTGGTTTGGAAGAGGAGAGGGGTTTAAGGAAGCAGAGGCCCAACACTCCCGTGAGGCCAAGTGGAGCCAAGGGCACTCCACTGGCTCTAGTCATTGGGCAGTCATGGATGATCTTTGAAAGAGCACCTTTCCACCTGGAAGTTCCAGGTGGACGCCCAATTGTGAGTTTAAAGATAGAGTAGCAAACGGAGGCTCAGGGTACTTCCTCAAGAGTCTGGAGTAAAGAAGGGGTATTTAGGGTGGTGCTTTTCAATAGGACTGTCCCCCAGATAGCTCCCTACTGAGGTGTCGGGGTGCAGACCCCCTTCTGGTGCTGTGTCCCCAAGGCTTCCTGTGACGATGCCAGCTCTCACACAGCTACCTGCTGGTCAGGGAGGGGCCATTAGGCTTCTCTGTGGTTGACTTTGTCATCGCTCCTCCAGGCACAGTTGCCTCAAAAATGGCAGTGGGAGGGGCTGAGGAGCCCTGGCCTTCTGAGGCCCCACCACTTAAGCATGACTTCCAGCTAGGGACCCAGTAAGCCTCCGGTCCTGGAGGACGTAGCACCCTGAAGGGTGTTGGAGTATCATCTTCTTTGCTCAGGCTGGCAGGAGATGGGGCACAGTGGGGAGAAGCCCTGTGGCCCACATGCGCTGGGGACTGGAGTCGCCTGTGTCCAAGAGGAGGAGCAAGATGGAGCAGTCCCTTGAAGACAGTGGGTCAAGGTCAGCCAACCTATTGCGCTGCTGCCCTACCCCCACCCCCACCCCCTTCTCTGAAGGACTGGCCTAACACCAGGACTCAAGGTTCAATTTGGTATGGGAAGGGACTCGTTTAAGCATTTACCTCACAGAACACACACACACCACACCACACACACACAAATGGGGTACAGCCAAACCAGGCCTATGTTCCCCTAATCTAGAGGGCCAGGGCCAGTGATTCAGGCCTGCTGAGCGCTCTGAGGCTGCCCCCTCCTTCTCTTGAGCCACAATTATCCCTGCCTTTGTGCCTTCAGTCCACGAGCTCCCTGACTCAGCCTGACGCCCGATTTCCCAGCAGTGGACAAAGCCCTTGTCAGTGGGGTGTGGCTGGTGAGGGAAGGCCTGGGAGACCACTTTGGGTCCAGCGCTTTCCCAGTTGCCCCAGAGTCTGGTCCCTTAGCCTTGCTGAGGTAGAGGTCACCCCTCTGCCTCTCCACAACTAGCCCAGACCTTCAAGGCCTGACTCTGGGGTGGAAATGGTTAAGGACTTTCCTTCCAGCTGGACAAAGTCTGACACCTGCTGGCCAAGGTGAGGAATGGCCAGAGCCCCCTACCCCCAAATGACTTCTGGGCAGGATCGTTAAAAGGGGCAGGGGACCCAGGGGACTGGAGGTGTGGAGGGTGGTGGCTGGGACAAAAGAGAAGAGACAGTCAGTTGCCATAGATCCCAAAGACCTGAGCAGTCTCCCCCTGCAGCAGGCTCCCCTGGTTCCTAAGCTAGCTGGGCGCCTGGGAGGGTCCAAGGCACAATAGTGTTGGGGGCTTCAGTGTCTTGACTGTTCAGAATCCCCTGAGCTCAGGGTGTGTGGCAGGGCCCCAGGGCCTGAGTGGGTAAAGGAGAACAGGACCTGCCCCACAGCCTCTGGGCCCCAGGCAGCCGCTTCCCTCCCTCACCTGCCCCCAGCTCTCCTCAAACTCCATGATGCTCTGGGGGTGGGGAGGGGGCTCACAGGGTGCAGACACCAGGCTGGGGGGGTGCTCTCCATCCTGCCTCATTGAGTGAACTAAGCAGGTCTAATCCCCTCTCGCTGTGAAGTTAGTCGCGCTCTTGTCTCTCCTGGGAGCCTCAGGAAGGCAAGATCCTTGAGTGCCCAGAAGAGGTGGCAGAGCTCACCCTTGGTAGTCCCGTTGCCAGCCTCTGGGTGTCAGGGTGACCCAAGGAGCTTGAGCCTGGGTCTTAGGACATTCCCCTAAAGAGAAAGAACTTAGTCCTCAACTAGGATCTCCACCGGCTCCCCAGACAGCAATGGAGAGAGGGCCCCCTGAGCCTGCCTGGGTGGGGCAGGGGCTCAGGCAGGTGGAAGAAGATGGATGGGTAGGGGCAGGGGGTAGGAAGAAGGTAGCAGCTGAGGTCTTGTCTCGTCCAGGTGGTGTGTCCAGGAGCAAGGCTAAACGTGAGCTGGCTCTGGTCATGGTGTCCCCCTACTTGGGCTCAGGGACACTGCCTGCAGGTGGGGGGGACGAGGCCTATGCTGCTTGTGGAATCCCCTCACTCCAGGCCCCCAAGGCAGAGGCCAGCAGGGCCTGAGCCAGGCAGAGTAGGGGACCACTGGAAGAGCCAGCCCAGACAGTGCCCAGGGAGCCAGGGCTGCAGACAAGGGAGGGCACGGGCTCAGGCAGGAGGAGGGGCTGGGGCTGCCCAGCGGCACACCCCATTTCACGCTCCCTGGGCGGTGGCAGGGCCCCACGGCTATCAGCTTTCAGGGGGTGGAGGGATCAGGAATGAGGAGGGGGTCTGCCCCACCCACGGCTCCCTGCTCCCTCAGGGCTTTCTGGACTCCGGAGGTGGGTGGTGGCGGCAGCTGGGACCCTAGGTGCCACACACCTCTGGAAGTAGTCCAGGAGGTCTTTGCTGAAGTCCCCAGAGAGGCAGCCAGTTCCCCTGAGTCTGGCGCTGGTCCTCCACAGAGGACTCACTGCAGGACGCACTCAGCACCAAGCCCTTCCTGCCTGTGAAGCTGGTCTCCCTGCTCCCCCACCCCCACCCCACTCCCTGTTCCGCTGGGCCCCTGCCTCCCTGGAGGTGGGCCCCACAGAGTTCCTGAGGCAGATGGGGGGATTAAAAGGCCCAGTACAGACAGTGGAGCAGGGCAGGGCCTCCAGCCCAGCACAGTGCACCCACAGCACTGACTCCCTGCTCAGCACCAGAGGGAGGGAGGGAGGCAGCAGGAGGCCCCTGAGGAATGGAAGGGCCTGCTACAGCCAGCCTCCCTCCTGGTGCTCCTCTGCCCTGGAGACCACTGACCACAGGCCCTGGGCTCAGCTCTCCTCCTAGGCAGGTTCACTCAAGCTCCAGCCCCTGGGATATCAGGAAGCCCACCAAGAGCTTCAGCCTCCACCTTGCCTGCACCCTGGGGAGAAGGGTCCCTTGAGGGTGATGAGAGCTGGGCTGGGACTGCTCAGATTCCCAGACTCTCACTGGCCAGCATTTTCAGCCACTGCCAGGAAGTTGGTGAGGGGGTGGCGGGAGCAGGGGTGAGTCAGAGATGATAGGAGCGGCAGCACAAAGGTCATGGGTGGAGAATTGGGAGACACTGTTTACAGCAGCTCGCCTCTCCCAGGTCTTCAGAGGCTAGCCCAGCCCTGGGTCCTCTGTCAGGCATTTTAGCGGGCACGCGACAACTGCTGGCCCGCCAGCATTGTGAGGGCCCGGTGGCACAAGGTCGTCTGGTCCTGTGCTGCTCAGCAGTGACCACACTGTGTTTACTCTCCCGTCTTTGGAAAACATGCCCCATCAATAGAGCTGATAGGAGAGCAAGCGCCAGGAAGCACTTGGCGAGTGCCAGGACATTGTCTGTGTCTTCTGCTCCTCTCCCTGGGTACCTGGGGGCCCTGGCAAATGAGCGCCCACAGGCGTACCCCGCAAGGGTTGAGAGGGGACAGGGAAGGGGCTGGTTGACGCCCTAGGTCTTCCAGATTGGCCCCCACACCGCGCTGCTGAGGCCCGGGGCTCTGGGGAGTCATAAAACGGCCACGGAGCTTAGCGAGACGGAAAGGCATATTTGCCTAGCAAGGGCCAAAGGGAAGTGGGAGGCCGCGACTAACGCTCCGCTGGCCCCTAGAGACCCAGCGGCGGACCAGGAGGGGGAGGGGGCGGCCGAGGTGGGGAAGTCGGCTTGTTAGCGCAGGTCCTTGGCCCCGCCCGCCGCCCACCATTGGCTGGGCCGGAGCTCCGCCCTCCAGCGGCGGCGGACCATTGGCTCGGGCCCTTCCTGTTTGCGTGCCCGTGGGGGTGGGCAGCGGCGTCATCCCTGGAACCGGCCGGCCTTCCTCCCTCCGCGCGTCTGGGTCGCCGTGTCTGCCCGCCGCTGACCCGGGCTCCCCCTCAGCAGCTGTCTCTCGCCCCTTCCCCGCCGTCACCTACTAGTCCGCCTGCCTGTGTGGCCGCCATGGGCCGGAAGCGGCTCATCACGGACTCCTACCCCGTCGGGAAGAGGCGGGAGGGGCCCACCAGGACCAGCAAGGGGGAGCTGGCAGCCGATCCAGGTCTCCGAGGTGTGGGGCGGCTGAGCACGGGAGGGGGTGGGAGGACCCCCCTCAGGGTCTGGCGGCAGGGGGTGGGGCGCCGACAGCCTGGCCTGAGGGGGACTTGGCCTTACAGGGGAGACGCCCCAGTCCCCTGGCAGGGATGTGGACCTGACGGAGCTGGCGCTGCTCAGGCAGTTTGACCTGGCTTGGCAGTACGGGCCCTGCACAGGTGAGCACCCCACCCGCCTCTCAGGGCGCTGCCTCCCGAGGGTGCACCTACACACCCTGCCCCGTGCCCCCGTCCCACAAAGCTGTGTCATCTCACTGGCAGGGATCACCAGGCTGCAGCGCTGGCATCGGGCAGAAGAGATGGGCCTGGACCCTCCCCGGGAGGTACACCAGGTGCTACAAACTCATCAGGGAGACCCCCGCTTCCAGTACAGGTCAGAGAGGGGGGCATCCCAAGGAGTGAGGCCCCTCTAGCCCTCCCAACGCCCCCAGTCCAGTCCTTGCTAAGCCTTAGGAAGGCACTCACAGGTCCTGGGTCAGGAGTGCCCAAACCCACTGCTGTCGAGTCAGTCAAACTCCTAGTGACCCTGGGTGTCAGGGAACTGCCCCATGGGTGTCCACAGGGAGCAGGCTGCTATGTCATTCTCCTATGGAGTGCTGGGGGTGGGGGAGGCAACTCTCACCACTGACTTGCCAGTAGGCAGCCAAGCACTCAATCACAGTGCCACTGGGGCCCTTCTCCCTCTGAACTGGTGCTGGGGGAAGGGTGTGGGCCCAGGCTACCCCCCCCCCCCCCCCCCCCCCCCCCCCCCCCCCCAGTTACACAAGGACTCTAGCCCATGGCCAAAGATTGGAGCTGGTAAGGTCCCATCACCTAGGGACTTACTGACTCCCTGGCTTATCCCCCCCACCACTGCCGCCCGCCTTCCACAGCCTCTGGCATATCTATCCCCTCTGAGTCCTGCCGCGAGCCTTCTGCCCTCGCCTACCCTGCAGCCATCAAGGACTTCAGGACAGATGACGGGTCAGTGGCTGCCCTCAGCCGAGCTCTGCTGCAGAGAAGCACGGGACAGGAGTTTCTCAGGAAGACCACATGCTGCACCTGGGGGTCTCACCCTGCAGGCCTCCAGGACCCCCTTGGCGGCTAAGCAGAGGAAGCCCCACCTGCCCTAGGTGAAGAGTGGTCTGTGAGGACAGGACTGGCCATGACCCTCCTGAGCCCATCACGTATCTCCTCAAACCCCAGGGACAGTGTGGCAAGTTAGGCGCAGCCTTGGCAGAACCTGACTTGGGTAGCTGAAGCCAAGATGTGCTTCCTTGTAGGTTGGCATCTGAGGGCAGAGACTGGCTGAGCTCACAGGTCAAGGAGTTCACTAGTGCCTATTAATAAAGAATCTGGAATCCTGGCCACCAGACCCTTCATGTGACCCTGCTGGTGGCAGGTGGGCAGGTGGGAACAAGCCAGCCCCAGGCACTTTTTTCCAGCAAGTCTTGGGGCACACCCCCTCCATGGGCGAGTAAACCCTGGGAGGCAAGGTCTAGGCCAAATGGAGTGGCCTCCGGTGCCCCCTGGTGGTGAGCAGAGAAATTCCTCTTTTAGTCATTTCAGGGACCCAAACCAATCCACTGGGTTGATTCCAGCTTCAAAGACAGAGTGGAACTTCCCCACGGGTTTTCTGAGGCTATGGTCTTTACAGAAGCAGACTGTCTCTTCTCTTTCCCTTTGAGTCACTGGCGCATTGAAGCCTGCTGGTTGGCAGCCCAGTGCTTAATCCATGGCACAACCAGAGCTCCTTGTGGCTGTGAACTGCCTGGCCCTGCTGTGTGGCCCACCCAGAGATAGCACCTTTGCTAGAGACTGTCCAGGAAACGTATCCTGGCCAGATGGACTAGCCAACTCACCTACTCCCAGCTCTGCTTCCCATGCCAGGATGGGGGCGCTATGGGGAACCAGAAACTATGCTTTGCAGGTTGTTGGGCAGGGTCTGGACAAGGGGAATACATCAATATCCCCCTCATAAATGGGTCCTTCTCTGTAGACCTCTGCCTTCCACCTTGCTATTAACCCCTTGGACACAAACCTCTAGAGGGGCTGCCTAGCCCCCATTTCATCCAATGCTGATGACCAGGGAGCTCCTAAATGTTCGTTGGAAAATGCCATGATCTTTCAGTTCTGATTTTTCCCAAGAGCCTTTTGAAGCCCCTCATACAAGTTTTCATCCTCCCGACAGACCCAGCCAACCCCTGAGAGTACAGCCTACCATCACACGGCAGGGCAGACACAGGGTCACACCCAGCCAGTGTGCCCCTCTCCATCTATGAGCACCCTCTATGGGGCAGTCACCCAGGACCCACTTATGCTATCATTAGGGGGAGGTGGTAGATAAAAAACATACACATACGTACCATGCCAGGGAGGCAGAGTTTGGGTTGGAGGGTGCCAGGGTAGCCCCTCTGGGAAGGTGGCATTTACAGCAAGACCTGCAGAAGTACATGCGCAATGACTTGAGCATCCCCAGGGCAGGCATGCTTCCAGCCTGTTCAATGTGAGTGGCAGATGGCAGGGAGACCTTGGCAGAGAGGTCTGGGCAGAGTCAGCAAAGTGAGGAGAGCGTGGTGGGAAGTGAGTCCAGAGAAGTAGCAGGGCCAGTCCCACGAGACCTCTCCGGCCACGATAAGAAACTTGGATTTGACACTGGAGGGCTTTCAAGCCGAAGAATGACATCATCAAATCTTGAAAACATTACTCTGACTGATAGTGGAGGACGATTGTAGGGGTGGAGGGGCAAAGGAGCAGCAGACCCACTCAGGGCACTCTTAGGAGGGGTCGACAAGAGCGAAGCTAGTGGTTTGGGCGGTGGTCCAAACTAGCCTGATTCACCATTTTGGAAGTGGGGTGGCTGGCAGGCCGTGGCTCCCAGGGTTTGGCTGGAGTACCTGGAAGGCAAGCGTTCCCATTACGATGGGGAGGCGTGTGGGAAGGGCGGGGTGAGGAGCAGAGGGCTCCTTTGGAGGTTGCAGTCCATTGTTTTAGGCAAAGCGATATTAGCATAATTGCACTGGGAGGGAAACTGATGATGCAAGAGAGCAGCATCAGGGTGAGTGAGGTCCCTGGGAAGGCCAGAAGGGACAGGGGCAAGCCCGAGGGAGGATGGTGGCTCCTGTGACAGGAAGGTCTGAGTGGAAGTAGATGCAGGTCAGGGAAAGACTTAGAGGCAGGACATTCATTCTATGCTTACTAAGCCTCTGGGGCTGCCAGAGAGGGACTGCGCCCCCAAGGGTCCATCCTGCCATCTGCTAGGCCGCATGCTTCACACATGGTATGGTATCTAGCTGATTCTTTCAGACAATCTCACTCAGGAATGTTAGCCAGTGTTTAGCTTTAATGCATCATAAGCAGCACATGGTAGACCTCCCCCTCCCACCCCCAGGGCCTGGCTATCAGCCCAACCCTACCTGCCTCTGTGCCACAGCTGGCCAGCCCTCCAAGTGCCAGTGATTTTGTTGCTGAGATAAGCCCTGCCCACCTACCACCACTGGGTGGATCTAGACTCAGAGCAACCCTATAGAGGTGCTGGCTTTTCAGTTAGCAGCCCAACCTATAAACCTGCACCACCAGGGCTCCTGGATAAGCTGCCTGCGTGAGGAACGAAAGGGCAGTGTGTGCCCTCCACCAAAGGGGCACTGGGTGGTGTGATGACAGGTGACAAGCTCGTCCGCTAAATGAAAGGTCAGCAGTTCGAGCTCACCCCTAAGTGCCTAGGAAAAAGGAACTGGCAATTGAATTCCAAAAAGTCAACCACCGAAACCCCAGGGGTGCAGTTGGACTCTGATGTGCAAGGGGTTGTTACCTGTTGAACTGGAACCTAGGAGGGGTGCAGACACCGCCCCAGGAGGCAGGAAGCATCACCAGCTCAAGGTCCTCCTGGCAGGTACGGGGGCTGGCACCACCCCAATCTGCCCCTTGTGTTCACACTGGTCAGGCTTCTGAGCCAATGGGGACCCCATTTGGGGGAGGGGGGCCCAAGACATAGCTCCTTTTAATGCGCCTCGGAGTTTCTGTGTTTCATCCTACAAGTTTTACACCATGGTTGCATTCTACTCTATAGTATGTGTCTGGAGTCATCCTTTCAGCACAACCATGGGATTACTATCAAAGGGAATTAGCCTCTCTTGCTGGAGAAGATGCAGCTCGGAGCGAGTTAGAGGCATCCTGGTGGCACAGTGGTTACATGTTGGGCTGCTAAGCACCAGGTCAGCAGTTCGAAACCACCAGCTGAAAGGAGGCTTTCTTCTCCTGTAAGAGGTGCAGTCTCAGAAACCTAGTGGCAGTTCACCTCTGTCTTACAGGGTTGCTATGAGTCGCCGTTGACTTGATGGCAATGAGATTGACTGGCTTCTCTCAGTGGTCATGCACGCGGAGTCCCTGGCCCAGGAAGGATGACGTGGAGAATGCCAACCAGAGAACGGCATTCTAGACAGAGTGAATAGACTGAACAAAAGGGTTGGGGCAAGTGTGTGCGGGGAGGGAAACAGGTATGCAGACAGGTGGGCTGTGGGCAGGGCACCATCGGTCTCAATCACCCTAATATAACACAATTGCTCACTAGGAATTCTCCCCCTCACAGCTACTCCAGAAATGATTACTGTTCTCATTTTAAAACGACAACACTCGAGTACAGAAAAGGGAACTATATGGCTAGGGTCACACAGCATTTCCCACCCCCACCTTCACCTGCACACCTGCCCCAGCTCAAACCTGAATCACTTGTGAGGTCTCCTCATTCCTCTTGCTAGCTTCCTTTGCAGTGCCTCCTGCTGCTCACTCAGCTAAGCCAGGGTCTCTGGGCTAGCTTTCTGGCTCCCGAGCCTGCTCTCTGAGTCTCAAGGGACCTTGTGAGACCAGGTCAAGGGAGCAGGCTGGCACCCAGAGGGTCTGCAGCCGGAGCCTAAGGAGTATGGACTGTATCCATGGGGCGGCAAGTCTGCTGAAGGTTTTGGAGCAGCAGCAAGTCAGGATTCTGGAAAGTCAGTTTGGCCAGGAGTGCTAAAAGACTAGAGGGGTATCAAGTACACATCTAAGGCATGGGAGGCGCAGGCCCCGGCTCCGCAGAGAGAATGACGTGGCCGGCGCAGTAGGAGACCTTACAAAGGAAGCTGGCAAGACTTGTGCTGGGGAAGACAAGTGGGGAGTAGGCGTCACTAATGACTCAGGCTTTGGGCTTGGGTGGGTGAGAGGATGATGATGCCGTAGGGAGAGAAATGGAACTGGGAGGGAACAGGCAGTCCTGTTTCCTGTATGTGGCGTGTGAGCAGTGTGGCAGGGCAGCCAGGTGGAAACATCAAGCAGATAATGGAGCCACAGAACTCAAGTCGTGCCAGGGCCAATGGGGCCACCAACGAGGCCTGAGTTCCCTGAGAGCAGGAGGCAGAACGAGACCAGAGATGAGTGGCATTTTGGAACATTCTCACTAGAAGGTGGGCAAATACTGTACAACCTCCCCCTTGGATGACATGCCCAGAGCAGGCCAGTATACAGACACCCAAGGTTATTGTTGGTTATCCAGGGTGGGTGGGAAGGAGGGGAGACCACAGAGCCCATTGCTTAGGGAACACTGAGCTTCTGTTCCAAATGTGGAAGTGGAGAATGATGACTGTTGAATGCCACGGAACCATTCCATGTGACAAATGCTGAAACGACAAGCATCGTGTTCCACAGACATTACCACCACCACCACATGACAAAGCTAATGATGCCCACTCTCTCAAAAACCTCCGATAAATGGACTTTTCATACCAATGAGTGAACAAATATTAGGGGGAAAGTGGCCAAAGTACAGCAAGAGAGCTGAGAGTCATCTGAGGGCAGGACCACGCGGGGCCCAGCAGGGTCAGGGACATGAGGGGACAGCTCTGTGTGGCGATCTGTGGTACGGCCTGGCCCAGATCTCCAGGAGAAAGGCAGAGGGCTGTCAAAGCCTCACAGGCAGAGGATGGCTTGCCCTAGTCCTGTTCCTACTTCTCTCCAGCTGTGTACCTCTCCCTGGGTTGCCCGGCTGTCATAGTAACGACCGGCGCCGCGCCCACCAAGGAGGGCCACGCTGATTCATGCTTTATTGACTCAGGTGTGGCAACATTGATCCACCCTCAGACAGGCTCATTCGTCGCTTGAAGGTTGAAGGAGCTAATTTACCAAGGAACTAAAGTACACAAGAGAAAAAAACTCATTTCTGAGTTGGTCTAGAAACAGAACAAAGCTCCCACAGTGCCAACATGAGGCCAATTTGGGCTAACCCTGCTGCCTCAAGGACTGACGGGAGCCTCACCATGGTTCCTAGTTTTCTCTACAGGCCTGTCTCAGCTTTGCCAGACTGAGTTCTAAGTGTAAGAAACAGCTTGCTGTCGT